AATTTCATGTCATTAGCACCTCTAGTAATATATTTACTGAGAAAAATGGTGACGTGTTCAATACTTATTTTACCCGCTGTTCATGTCACAGGTACTTTAATAATGTAAGGTTTATAACTGTAAGAATATTTCGTGTTCTTTAACTGAAATCGTAACAAAACCACATAATATTGAATAGATTAAAATGTGACAAGAATATGGACCATACAACCCAGATCTGGTTATGAGCGGAGCTTTATTGTTTAGGCTAGAAGCAATCGGAGCTGCAACCCGGACTTCCGGTCCTTTTATAGAGTCTTCAGTGCCTGGTGCGCCCCCTGCAGGCATACGGCTGCATCGCAGGCCACTCCAACAAACAATGCCTACCCTAATGAATTAATAACGGTTTTTCGATGTGTTTTCATAATGTTTTCGGGCATGTGTGTAAACTATTTTAATCAAGACATAACAATAGTTAAACAATGGATTATAAAAGTCAAAGCTTAAAAGGAAAACTAAGAAAATAGTGTGGTGCTTCTAAATCAGTTTCTAACTAACAAATTCCTTTCATAACTCAGAAATGTGTTTTTTCCAGTAACTCAGTAAATGAGACGTTTTTCTCTCCGTATGTTTTGTTTCAGGAATCGATAAAATAACGGAGAAGTCTCAGGTGAGTGAGGATGGGACGCTGGTCGCTGTGCCTCCGTCCACGCCGCTCAGTGACGCCGGCGACGCTGAGCCCGCCTCGGAGAGGAACCGTCAGGTACGGCGGTCGTCTCATCGGATGCGACGATTTCTTTTCTGCTTCCTGAGAATTAAATTTTCGTTGTTGCCGTTAGGACGACCAGAAACAGGCGGCGACGTCGAAGAGTCGAGCGTCGAGCGTGTCGTCTGCTTCGACCTGGAGCGCCGACCCGGACTGGGTGAGGGCGTGTTCCTCCTGCTGAACTGTTTCCTGCTTCCTGTCATGTGACTCCTCCTTCCTGTTCTCAGCTGTTGTCCTGGAAGTCCAAACTGCCTCTGCAGACCATCATGAGGCTGCTGCAGGTGCTGGTTCCTCAGGTGGAGAAGATCTGCATCGACAAGTAGGGACGCCACGCCACTTTTTAAACTAAAAGCTTCTTTATATTAAAATAAATTCTGATCATATAAGTTATTTTTTTTCGTTGGGTTCAGGGGTTTGACCGACGAGTCTGAAATCTTGAAGTTCCTGCAGCACGGCACGCTGGTGGGCCTGCTGCCCGTCCCTCACCCCATCCTCATCAGGAAGTACCAGGCCAACGCCGGCACCGCCATGTGGTTCCGCACCTACATGTGGGGCGTCATCTACCTCCGGTAAACAAACCGAACATCAGCGCTTTGCTGCTGGAGCCAAGTTTAGGATGATTTCGTTCTCCCCTCTCGTTGCAGGAACGTGGATCCTCCCATCTGGTACGACACGGACATCCGGCTCTTTGAGATTCAGAGGATTTAAAGGTGGACGTCAGGACTGTCCTCAACACATCTGGACCGATTCTTATCTAAACAAATAAATGTTGTCTAAATGTGACCGTCAATTATTTACTGATCATCACATTCAGAGCTTTGAGAATGAATTAAATCT